ACAGCCAAAGAAAATGAAATCAGTGTGTCAGATCTCTGCACTCTCATGTTCATTTCAGCATTACTGGTAATAGCTAAGATATGGAAACAAACTAAAAATACATTGACAGAAGAATGGATAAAGAAAATGTGTGCATATATGTTGGGGGCGGGGTATGTGTACACACACACACACACACACAAAGAGGAATATTATTCGACCTTAAGAGAGGGAAATCCTACCATTTCCGTGTGGCAGGTGAAATAGGCCAGATGCAGAAAGACAAATACGACATGATCTGACTGTGTTAGTCTGTTTTTTTGTTTTTGTTTTTGTTTTGCATTGCTTTAAAGAAATACTTGAGGATGGGTAATTTATAAATAGAGATTTACTTGACTCATGGTTCTACAGGCTGTACAAGCATGACACCAACATCTGCTTGGCTTATGGTGAGACTTCAGGAAGCTTACAATCATGGCAGAAGGCAAAGGGGGAAGCCAGCATATCACATGGCAAAAGAGTGAGCAAGAAGGGTTGCAGGGGGCAGTGCTACACTCTTGTAAACAATCAGACCTCATGTGAACTGAGCAAGAACTCACTCATTACCAAGGAAATGGTACTAAGCCATTCATGAGGAATCTGACCCCATGATCCTGTATCTCCCACCAGGCCCCATTTCCAACAATGGAGGTCACATTTCAACAAGGGATTTGAATGGGACAAGCATCCAAACCATATTACTCACTTATATGTGGAATATAAAAAGAGTCAAACTCATAGAAAGAGCATAGAGTGGTTATTACCAGGGGCTAGGGGAGAAGAAAATGAGGTGATATTGGTCAAACAGTACAAAGTTTCAGTCACACACGGTAAGTTCTGGATATCTAATGTAAGCAAGGTGACTATAGTTTACAATACTGTATACTTGAATCTGCTAAGAGGGTAGATCTTAAGTGTTCTCACCATAAAATGAAAATGAAAAACAAAAGAAATGTGAGGTAACTGATATGCTAATTAGCTTACTGTGATAAGTACTTCAAAACACATATATATATCAAATAATCAACCTGTATACCTTAAATATGTACAATTTTTAATTGTCATTTATACCTCAATAAAGTTGGGGGGGAAAAGGACCCACCATACTTATTTTTTAAGCTCAATGAAGAATAGTTTATTGAATATATACTATGTTGAATACTGCTGCAATATAGAAAATACTACTTTCATGGCTTCAGGTATCACTGGAAGAACCAACTCATTAAAGAAAACGTAGTTAATAAGCCTACATGTAAACTATTATAAAATCATTTCATTAATACAAGAAATATTTTAACTTAGGACACTAAGAATGAGCTAGAGACTTCTTCTCTTTGGAGTTTAATTCTAAAACTGCCACTACCTACCATCATGATCCTACTTTTGTAGCTCAGTTTACTCACATTTAAGGCAATGAATCAAAATTTTAAAATATTATTTTGATTTATCCAAGCGACTGCTGGTGATTTAAACCTTAATAATGATTAAATTCAGCAGATTCATGACACAGAAATAGAACTTCAAACAATGTGGCAACACCACTGATGGAAAACCACAATACACAGATTACCTCGGTATGCAGCAACAGGGATGGAGAAGTGTCTGTTAAATGTCAATGAAGTGAAAAGAACAGAATCATAAACAGGGCTACCAAATTAGTGGCTAATGCCAATCACACCAGAAGCATCTCTGAAATGCTTTGTATAAAACAAGGTAAATTACAAGGTGACAGATAGCAAAAAAAAAAAAAAAAAGAAAAGAAAAAACAAAACAAGTAAATATATTTTCCTATTGACTTAAATTGTAATTTCAGTGTGGTGCTTGCTTGGAAAGTTCTTTTTAGTTACCCTTGAAATATCAAAATTTCATTAAGCATTTTCAGTTTGTTTATTCTTCCACCACTACTACTAAGAATGTTAACAAGTAGATAATACCAGGATACACAGATGTGTATCAAAATATACTCATAATATACCCACTGGGTATATATGCAAAAGTAATATAGCAGAGCGCATACAAATAAGACTCCTGAAGATGAAGAGACTTGGGTTCAAATCCTGGCTCTGCTACTTTCTTGTTCAGATGACTTTGGAAAAATTACAAACTATAAGCTTCAGTTTCCTCAACTGTAAATGGGGTTCATAATAAAAAATTAGCGATGATAATATGGATACACAGTAACAGTACCTAAACTTCATGGGATCACTTGGGTTTTAAATAAAATAATGCATATAACATATACAGTAAGTGACTAATAATTATTAGCTATCATCCTTTCCCTGGAAATAATCACCAACTGCTTAAGACTTGGACATTGAAAAAGTCATACCCTCTCTGCCAGAGTTCTTGAAATGTTTCAGGAAACTAAGGAATTAGGTAGAATCTGCAGGGAGAAAATAAAAGGACTTGTTTTATGAATGAGGCTATCACTTTTGTTATTCTTGCTATTTCTCTGAAAGAATGTTGTAGTCCTTTATTTCAGAGATGACCATTAATTTTAATTACTTATTACATGCCAGTTGCTGTCTTAATTTTTTTTTTCAATTCAATTTTTTCAATGAAGCAGAGATCCTCATTTTACAGATAGTGAGACTAATGTTTAGGGAGGGTAAATAGCTTGCTCAAGGTCATAAAGCAAGTAGGTTTCAGAAGCAGAATCCACAATTTCATCAACTGAAGTCAAATGTCTTTCCATTAAACCAAGAATATCCAATGACTATCTACCATTCACTATCGCTAGGTGAAAATCTTATTATATTTGTTTTACATGACCTGGAAAAGAAACAGAGTTTGTAAAACAAGAAAAATATTATACAACTCTAATCCTCCAAAACCTTTAAATCTAAATTTGCAATCTGAATATTTATTTTATCAGCCCTTGCATACATTCTGTGCCACAAACCAGCATAAGATTTAGTTCATCAACGTTCGTCTTACATTGTTAATTGATGAAGGACTCACTGTTTTTGCTTACATAAAAATTTTATTCATAAAGTTTTAAACTATTAATCCCATGCTATTACTCAATGTCTTATATTTCCTTCTCTAGTAGAACTTTGTGGAGTTGTAAGGTGTTTTCTTATTGTTGTTGATGATATACATGGGAATGAAAATCTATTTTTTCCCCAGACAATATACAATCTGAGATTTGCTTTTATTCAGGGTTTCTGATCCACAGAGGGAAAAAAAAAAAAAAAAAAAAAACCCACATACAATGGCTATGCATAGACAAAACTTTTTTTAAAAAATTTAGTACAAAGAAAGGAGAATCAGAGAAATATATTCTGGTCCATTCATCTTTCACTTTCATTTAGAAAAAGGATTTAAAAACAAGCACAAAAATAAGTCAGATCTGTGTTATGAACAGTTAAGAAAGGACAAAGCAAAGAAAATAACTGGACTAGTGTCATTCTAGTGATACGTTTTGAGATTAGTATTCATCAACGGGAAAATGTCATCCACAACTTTTTATTCAGTTTGAGCCATCAATATTAGTTACTATCTGCAGACACTGCTGCTTGAAATGAATCATGGTACTCGAGCAATTCAGAACATATATTCCTATATTTAAAGTTATTGTCAGCTTTTAGCTTTAAACTAGAAGTATATTTCAGAATTAATGACTTTCAGTAAAAAAACAAGGTATTTCATTATACATACATACAGGAAAATTTCAAGTTATAGTAGGTTAAAATGTCATTCGTTCAGTATTTTGGAACTTCCATGGTAACAATGATATGACTCTTAAAACACTGCCTTTCGAGGGATATGGGTTACCTTAGTATAAAACACCTGAAGGTGGTCACATCAGAGGAAAACTACATTGTTGTAGAGCTTAAAAAAGAATCTTCATCTACTGCTTTCTCAACGAAAATCACAAAATTATCTGTAATTCAGTGGAAAAAATCCAAAGGAATTAACCATTTTTCATAGTTCTTAAAATGTTTTCAGAAAATTTCAACAGATTATTATAGCTACTGGCCAAAGGAAAACATATTTTCTATGGTGCAATACTCTGGCCACAATACCACCTCACAATAAAGCAGACAGAAAGCCAGAAAGACCTCAACTCACATCCTGATCTAGCATGATTAGGGTCTCTCAGGTTTCAGTTTCCTCACTTGTGAAACAAATGGAGTTAACTCATTCAATGTTGGTTGAATGCCTACTACGTGTCAAACCCTGCGTTAGCAATGAAAGTTTATTATTTAATTTTTGCTTTAAATAAAACCATGGTCCTTGTCCTTGCAAATCTTGTGAAGTGACAAATAAATGAAACATGATAACCACTATGAACAAACTGCTATGTCTGGGCAAATCAAAAGAGGCTGCAGAGGGGATAGTCCATTGAGTTGAGACTTGAATGAATATGAGTTGTTTAGAGATGGGGATTATGGGTATTCCTTGCAGAAAGAAGAGACTACACAGACAAGATGACAAAAAAGGGCAAAAACAGAGAGAGCTTTAACGTAAATGATGCACAGGCTGGGTATTAGAGAAAACTAGTGGGAGACGCCACACTGAGGAATCTGACTTTAAGCACTAAGCCACTTAAACATTATCAGAAAGGTTCCTTCCACCCTAAAACTCTGGAAATTGACGGTAGGCCCAACCAGGAACATTCAATTTCTCCACCACTTCATCTGAAGTTGTTAGAGTCTTTTCAAGCAAAAAAAGCAAAACTATCCAAGTTTTGATGCTGCCATTATGAAACCTAAAAGACTTCTCTTAACTGATAAATTTTAGGACTAGCAATAGGCATCTATTGTTATTAGCGTAATAAAGCATTCTAAAAGCAAGATATATAACAAGACATGTACTTTATCAAATACAAAACTGTAAACCTATAAATGTGAATATTAAAAACAGACACTGAATTTACATGTCCCCAAAAATGATTTTTCATACTTTGTTCAAAGCATGCTTCACTGTGAACACCAATTAACTAGAAGCACCTAAAGAGAATATAAAGTTCTATCTACCTGTGTTCTGCAGGAACAGGGGGTGGCCAAACAGCAGGATCCCTAAATGGTTCATCTTGACAGGACACAGGGAAATCTGGAGGCTTGTCGATTTTAAAACTTTCTAAAGTGCTGACAATACTTTTAACTTGTTCATATTCTTCCAATAATTCCTGCCGAACCTTAAAAAAAAAAAGGCTTTATGCTAGAAGCTGTTTAAAGACTTCATAAATTGTAAATAATAAATTGCTATAGAGTGAATGTTTTCTTAATGTCAAAGTATGAAAAATGAATCATTAAAACATTCATAAACACAAAGAACTATTTCAAGTAATACTGAGAAAAGGGCAGAAATTAGTTTGAAAAAACCATAATTCTATACCTTTTAATAAAGTAGTTATATCTCTTTCACAATGGAATTCCATTTCTACCAAAGAACGTGATGATCATTAATACAATTTAAAACAATCAACTAAGTAGGTAACAAGTTAAACATTGCAAGAAATCTAAAATATTGTGCTAAATACTTTTAACATATTTGTAAATAGATTCCAAAAAATTGTAAGCCAAAATTTTCAACAGCATTTCCTATTCCCAATATCACTAAATATAAAACGCCTGTCATGAGTGTCTGAAAGCTAGAAGTGGTATTATACTACGAATTACAAACTTCCAGTTTTTATTTTAATTCTCCTTCACCTGAAATCTGAATTATTTTTGCCTTATTTAAATTATTTTGAGTTCTGAGTAAAGTTTATTTTGATTTCAAAGACAAGGTTTTTCCTGTATTTAAAAAATTTAACTGAACACATACTATGAGGAAATTCTTATGTTTTCAAACTTTGAGCACAAACTCATTTTCAAAAGTAAACAGATAAAGATTAAAAATTACATTCAAGACCAGCCTAGGGAAACAAATTAGCCCAGGCATGACAGTGCAAGTCTACAGTCCTAGCTACTTAGGAGGCTAAGGCAGAAGGATCATCTGAGCCCAGGAGTCCGAGGCTACAATCATGCTACTGCACTCCAGTCTGGGCAACAGAGCAAGACTCCAGGTCAAAAAAAAAAAAGATAAGAAAATTATAATTATAAATCATTTTAAGAATTGTTTTTTCTTTAACCAGAAAGCAAGTCATACTGTAAAGCAGAGTATAAAAAATTTTCCCTCATCTTTATATTGAATAATATATTAAAAGGAACATATGAAGGAGTTACAGATCCAAAGAAAAAGCTAGGTAAAATTCAACTGCTAATACATGCAATTACACAATATGCTACCCTGGAAGAAATGTAATTTCAGAACCCAGTGGAAAGAAACATAGTAGAAACGTCTGAGTAGAAATGGTCACTATTTAACATACACAATTCAGAACATGTCAAAAATACTTCCATAATAGATTAATAAAATACCCTGCCTATAGCTAACAGGAAGGATAGAAGAAAACAACTAAAAATTTGAGCCTGAGTTGGAGCAAGTATATTGTTCTCAATCAATATAATTTGGTAACATTTAAGTTGGAAAATAAGTCAAATTTACCCTCAAAACTTAGGAAAACATCAATTTCTGACTAATGGAAAAACTAGAAGAAATACTTGAAAGGCATTAGTACATAAAATGGAAACTTCAAAGAAATACTTGACTTAGTACTCGTAATTTTTAAAAGATTTAAAATTTTAACACCAAGTGGGGAGTGGTCTGCATTGGCAGCACATATACTAAAATTGGAATAACACAACAAGACCAGTATGTCCCCTGCACAGGATGCACACAAACTCCTGGAGTGTTCCGTAGTTTTTTACTTAACATTTTCTAAAAAGGATGTTATGTTGTTTCAGTATAACAGGTGAAAACACAAGCTTAAATAATAAACCCTTATAAAACAAAAGCCAATTTTGTTTAAACATCACTGAAGATGCTTTATTTCCTTAAAGATCTATTGCTTATAAGTATGATTTGTTTAAAAAAAAAAAAAAACATCGTTTTTAAAAGTTACAATTAATTTGAAATTGGAACAGCAAAGCAAGAACTATGCTAAAAGATACCGATTAAAACATTAAATTTAAAAAACAGTAAGTGGGTAAATTAAAATTCAAGTTTTTATTTAACTGTCTTATTAATCAAATTATATAGTCAAAAGACAACAAATATAGTAATGTTTTTTATTAGATTACTGACTCATCTGTATTTTTAAGGAGACTTTCAAAAGAGTTTTGCAAAATGGGTCAAAACAACAAGTAAATATGAAAGGGAAAAGGGCAAGTATGAATACTTTATTTCAGGTCCAGCACAGTGGCTCACATATGTAATACCTGTGCTTTGAGGGACCAAGGCAGGAGGATCACTTGAGGCCAGGGGTTTGAGTCCACCCTGGGCAACATAGCAATACTTAGTCCTTACAACAAAATCTAAAAATTAGCTGGACATGTGGTGTGAACCTGTCCCCCTAGCTACTTGGGAAGCTGAGGTGGGAGGATCGCTTGAGCCCAGGAGTTTGAGGCTGCAGTGAGCTATGATGGCACCACTGCACTCCAGCCTGGGTGACAGAGCAAAACCCTTTAAAAAAAAAAAAAAAAAAGAAAGAAAGAAAGAAAGAATGGGCCAGGTGCGGTGACTCACGCCTGTAATCCCAGCACTTTGGGAGGCTGAGGTGAGTGGATCACTAGGTCAGGAATTCAAGACCAGCCTGGCCAACATGGTGAAACTCCGTTTCTACTAAAAGTACAAAAATTAACTGGGCATGGTGGTGCATGCCTGCAGTCCCAGCAACTTGGGAGGCTGAGGCAGGAGAACTGCTTGAACCTGGGAGGCAGAGGTTGCAGTGAGCCAAGATCGTGCCACTGCACTCCAGCCTGGGCAACAGAACAAGACTCTGTCTCAAAAAAAAAAAAAAAAAGAATGAATGAATGAAATACTTTATTTCAAAAGTTTGTAGTCACACAATTAGGTAACTGATCATGAAAACAGAACAAAGTAAAAGTAGATTCAATTGGAATTAAATATCTTCAAAACATACCTCATGAAATATATGATCAAAAAACAAAACATTAACTAGGTAAGATACTAAAATATACAAGAGCATATTTTAAACATAGTTCAGTATTCAGATAAACAGGAACTATTTCCATCTCAAACTCATTTTCCGACTCTAATCTCTCAAGTAAAATAGGGTACTGCCGTCCCAACACATCTAATACTTTAATATCATCTTACCTGTTGCCATTTGCCTTTGATAGCTGGATCTCTGACTGACTGGCAATGTCTCTGAATTTGCTGTATCACTCCCTGGTAATAAACCATTGATGAGTCGTAATTTCCAAGAAGGGCATATTCTCTTCCTTTCTTTGCATTATCACAAATCTCAGCCAAATTCATCTTCTTTCAGATACCTAAACATAAAATATAATGACTTTTTAAAGTTTTCAGCACTGACTTTAAAACATTTATTGTTCTTTAAAATATGTTTAAAACTACTTTTTTTTGAGTCAGAGTCTCACTTTGTTGCCCAGACTGGAGTGCAGCGGCGTGATCTTGACTCACTGAAACCTCCACCTCCCAGGCTCAAGCGATTCCTGAGCAGCTGCGACTACAGGGGTGCACCACCATGCCCAGCTAATTTTTGTATTTTTAGTAGAGACGGGTTTCACCATGTTGGCCAGGCTGGTCTCAAACTCCTGACCTCAGGTGATCCACCCACCTCGGTCTCCCAAAGTGCTGGGATTACAGGTGTGAGCCACTGTGCCCAGCCTAGAACTACTTTGAAAGTCAAAACAGTTACCGTTCTTTTAGGTTATCTGTATGCATCTTATAATACTAAACAAAGTTTTCAAATTTGGAAGTATAAAGGAGATCATAAAAGAACACCCATGGAAATAACAGGGAGAGAGGTTACACAGCTCTGAACTACTGATTTACTTACAGGTACATAAAATTGGACACTAGTTTTCCTTATTCCTTTATAATTACCATAGGCTGCAATAATAGATGAACTTGTTTTATTCAATTTATTCTTGACAACATAAAAAATATGAGTATCACATAAATATATGAATATATTTTCTACTGAAGTCAGTTGAAACTGTAAGAACTAGTTCTCACTAAAACTTCTTGGCCCCAAGAATAAAAAGTTATACTTAAAGAATAGATTTTAAAGACAGTCTATAGTTGTTCATGTACCATTTATACTCATGTAATTGCCTCAAATTTAAATCTAAGCAAACACCTATAAATTAAACTCTTTGAACCCCAATCTGTAATCTTCTAAGACCTCATGATTCTCTATAGCTTTTTGGCCATGCAAATAACTATCGTTATTTTCCTTTCTATAAGATGTTAGTCAGAATACCCTCTAAATTTCTGGGTTCCACTAAAGCTCTCCAGTCCAGTAATTCTGGCTTTTCTTCCAGGCTTTCCAAAAGTCTCCTAGAACCATCCAAGGCTTCTATGCAAAGACACTTTCCTCCCAAGACTAAAAAGAATAGAAGTCCAGAGATACAGGAGAATGATATCCTGAGAAAGAGTCAAAATTGCCTTCCGATTTCCAGGAATAGTAAACCAATGAATACACATAAAGAAGAAAATCAAAATACTACTCTATGACTTATTCAGGGAATTAAACTTTGGCTTGGGGAGCCTGACTCTTCCACTCTGACTCTCAATCTCTTATCCGTTCTTCAGGAATTCAAAAATTCTTCCTGAAAATTAACCATCACTAGTTCTAGGCATTTCAACTGACTCCAAAACATTTTTGAAAACAAATGTTTATGTGTTTGGCATGTTATTTTCCCCTTACAGGTTCCATGAAGGCAGAGTTATATTACTTGAGAACCACACTGCAGCAAATAGTACACTACTAATATGGTTTGGCTCTGTGTCCTCACCTAAATCTCACTTAAATTGTAATAATTCCCACGTGTCAAGGGCGGGACCAGGTGGTGGTAAACGGCTCAAGGGGGTAGTTTCCTCCACGCTGTTCTTGTGATAATGAGTAAGTCTCATGAGAGATCTGATGGGTTTCTTTTGTTTTTTTAGATGGAGTCTTGCTCTGTCGCCCAGGCTGGAGTGCAGTGGCGCTATCTTGGCTCACTGCAAGCTCTGTCTCCTGGGTTCATGCCATTCTCCTGCCTCAGCCTCCCAAGTAGCTGGGACTACAGGCGCCCACTACCGCGCCCGGCTAATTTTTTTTTTGTATTTTCAGTAGAGATGGGGTTTCACCGTGTTAGCCAGGATGGTCTCAATCTCCTCACCTCACAATCCGCCCTCCTCTGCCTCCCAAAGTGCTGAGATTACAGGCGTGAGCCACCGCGCCCGTCCGAGATCTGATGATTTTATAAGCGTCTGGTATTCCCCCTGCTGGCATGCATTCTCTCTCCTGCCCCACTGTGAAGAAGCACCATGACTGTAAGTTTTCTGAAGCCTCCCCAGCCATGCAAAACTGTGAGTCAATCAAATCTCTTTTCTTTATAAATTACCCAGTCTCAGGTTTTTCTTCGCAGCAGTGTGGGAAAGGACTAATACAGCAGACCAGTACCAAGAGTGGGGTGCTGCTACAAGGATACCTGAAAATGTGCAAGTGACTTTGGAACTGGGCAACAGACAGAGGTTGGAACAGTTTGGAGGGCTCAGAAGAACACAGAAAAATGTGGGAAAGTTTGGAACTTCCTAGAGACCTGCTGAATGGTTTTGACCAAAATGGTGACAGTGATATGGACAATGAAGTTCAAGTTGAAGTGGTTACAGATGAAGATGAACTTGTTGGGAACTGGAATAAATGGGACCCTTGTTATGCTTTGGCAAAGAGACTGGCAGCATTTTGTCCCTGCTCTAGAGATTTGTGGAACTTTGAACTTGAGAGAGGTGATTTATGGTATCTGGCGGAAGCAATTTCTAAGCAGCAAAGTGTTCAAGAGGTGATTTGGGAGGGGGGAGTTGCTCTTAAAAGCATTCAGTTTTATCCATTCACAAAGATATGGTTTGGAATTGGAATTTATGTTCAAAAGGGAAGCAGTGAATAGAGGTTTAGAAAATGCATAGCCTGACAATGCAATAGAAAAGAAAAACCCATTTTCTGGGGAGAATTTCAAGCCAGCTACAGAAATTTGCATAAGTAACAAGGAATCAAAAGCTAATCACCAAGACAATGGGGAAAATGCCTGCAGGGCACGTCAGAGATGTTGGCAGCCCCTCCCATCACAAGCCCAGAGGCCTAGGAGGGAAAAATGGGTTTCCTAGGCTGGGTCCAGGGCCCCCCTGTTGTGTGCAGCCTTGGGACTTGGTGCTCTGCACCCAGCCACTCCAGCCATGGCTAAAAGGGGCCAAAGTACAACTCAGACCACAGCTTCAGAGGGTACAAGCCCCAAGTTTTGGCAGCTTCCACATGGTGTTGGGCCTGTGGGTGCACAGAAGATGAGAACTGAGGTTTGGGAACCTCCCTCTAGATTTCAGAGGATGTATGGAAATGCCTGAATGTCCAGGCAGAAGTTTGCTGCAGGGGCAGGGCCCTCATGGAGAACCTCTGCTAGGGAAGTGCGGAAGGGAAATGTGTGGCTGGAGCTCCCACTGAGACCCCACTAGGGCACTGCCTAGTGGAGTTGTAAGAAGAGGGCCACCACCCTCTAGATCCCAGAATGGTAGATCCACTAACAGCTTGCACTATGCATCTGGAAAAGCCACTAGAGGCCAGCTGTGAAAGCAGCCAGGAGGTAGGGACGTACCCTGCAAAGCCACAGGGGTGGAGCTGCCCAAGGTGATGGGAACCTACCTCTGACATCAGTGTGACCTGGATGTCAGATATGGAGTCAAAGGAGGTAATTTTGGAAGTTTAAGGTTTAATGACTGCCCTACTGCATTTCAGAATCACATGGGGCCTATATCCCTTTGTTTTAGCCAATTTCTCCCATTTGGAACAAGTGTATTTACCCAACGCTTGTACTCCCAATATATCTAAAAAGTTACTAACTTGTTTTTGATACAGGCTCATAGGTGGGAAGAACTTACCCTGTCTCAAATGAGACTTTGGACTTGGACTTTTGAGTCTGGAATGAGTTAAGACTTTGGGGGACAGTACGAAAGGCATGATTATGTTTTGAAATGTGAGGACATAAGATGTGGGAAGGGCCACAGGCAGAATGATATGGTTTGGCTCTGTGTCCCCAACCAAACCTCACCTTGAACCGTAATAATCACATGTCAAGGGCAGGAGCAGGTGGAGGGATTGGATCACGGGGACAGTTCCCCCCATGCTGTTCTCATGATAATGTGTGAGTCTCATGAGATCTGATGGGTTTATAAGAATCCGGCATTTCCCCTGCTGGCATTCATTCTCTCTCCTGCAGCCCTGTGAAGAGGTGCCTTCTGCCATGATTGTAAGTTTCCTGAGGCCTCCCCAACCATGTAGAACTGTGAGTCACTTAAACCTCTTTCTTTATACATTACCCAGTCTCAGGTATTTCTTCATAGCAGCATGAGAATGGACTAATACAACTACTTTTAATTTCAATGTCCAGTGGATCTATCCACAGAATACAGGACAACCATGGAAAGTCTCATCTTCAAATTTAGAATATTAACACAAAACAATATGGTCTTACTATAATGAGTAATATGTAATTAACAAATCCAGTAGAAACAAAGATGCTCTACAAATTATTTCTCTTTAAAGTCATTGTGAAACAAAAGCGTTAATCCTGCTCACAAGTACAGACACAAACTTATGAAAGATAAAAATATCCTGATACAAAGGAGGGGTTGGCAAACTTTTCCTGTAAAAGACCTGACAAGTAAATACTTTAGGTTTTGAGAGCTAACAAACAAAATGAAGGATATTATATAACTACTTATATAATGAGACAAAAAATTCCATAATTCTTATCGATGCAATTCAAAATATTATAGAAACAATAACAGAGTACAACTTTCTGTAAGACAGGTTGACTAAGGAGAAGACTGAAACTCTTTCTGAGGACAATATTTCACTTAGTTGGGATTCAAAGTTAGTGTTCCCTATCATGAGAATCAATCACAAATGTTCACACATTCTAATGTTTACCTTGAATACAATAAATTTCATGTTTGAAAATGTCTTTTTTCAAAAGTACTAATTAGGTGCTACTTTATACTGATAGTAAATCACAAGTATATGATTTCAATTCAGCATAATCATTGTTTGGAAGGCATTTAAAGGATTTACTCTTCTCTTAGTATTTACCTTTTTGCATGTCATTATTTGCAGATTAATCATCCCAATTAAAGGTTATATAAAAAGTGCCTCAACTGCACAGTTAAATGGAAATTTCCTTGGCACTTACATCAAGTTCTAAAACATGCTGCTGAAGCTGTAGTTTGAACTCAGAAAACACACCTATTGCAAACTGCATAGGAATGGAGACCT